GGGAGAGAGATGGGGGGAGGCAGGAATAAAAGAAGGGAGGGCTGATGTGTATCTCCAGGTTCATGGCCCAAGAACCAATACCCTCTTCCAAAAATTAGCCTTACCACAGAACTACAAAGCAACAGTGTTTTCTAACTAATTCAAGAGTGATTTTATATTTTATTTATTATTTTTATTTTATGTGTATGATGGTATTGCCTGCATGTGTATAAGTGCAATGAAAGTGGGAAGAGGGCATCAGGTCCCAGATGGTTGTCAGCTGCCGAACAACCCAACCTGGGTCCTCTGCAAGACAAGCTGGTGTTCTTAATCACTGAGCCATCTCTCCAGCCTGTGCTTTGGTTTTTTTGTTTGTTTGTTTCTTTGTTTGTTTTTGAGACAGAGTCTCCCTGTAGCCTCAGCTGGCCTGGAACTTACTATGTAGACCAGGCTGGCCTTGAACTCACAAGAGATCTGCCTGCCTTTGCAACCCAAGTGCTGGGATTAAAGGCTGCTCTACCATGACCAGCAGTGAGCTTTGCTTTCTATTTACTATTTATTTATTTATTTATTTTATTTTTAATTTTTTAATTTTTTAAATTTTTTTATGTCTTTTTGAGACAGGGTCTCCTTGTAGCCCCAGCTGTCCTGGAACTCACTATGTAGACCAGGCTGGCCTCGAACTCACGAAGGTCTGCCTGCCTCTGCCTCGCAAGTGCTAGGACTAAAGGGGTGCACCACCACTCCTGGCGAGCTTTGTTTTTTAAATAAATGCTTTCCTGAACTTCTACTTATTGTTCTCCTTATTATCTGAGATTAAACCCAGGATCTCCTGCCTGGACCCACACTCACCACTGAACCATACCTCCAGCCATACTTATTATTTTGATTATACATACATTTAATGCTAGTTTTTAATATTTTATTTTAATTTTACTTTTATTTTATGTGTATGAGTGCTTTGCATGCATGTATGTAAGTACACCACCTGTGTGCAATGTGTGCAGAGGTCAGAAAAGGGCATCTGATCCCCTGGAACTAATGCTATGGATGGCTGTTAGCCACCGTGTGGACGTGGGTGCTGGTAACCAAAATTGGATCCCCTGCAAGAGCATCCTGTGATGTGCTCTTAACTACTGAGCCAACTTTAATGTTATTTTTATGGTTCTTTGCCAATGCTTTGTTTGTAGCCCTGCTTGACCTGGAACTCGCTATGTAAAACAGGATGGCCTTAAATTTTGTAGCTCCTCTTGCTGTCCTGCCACTTCCTCCTAAGCGTTGGGCCTACTGGTGTATGCCACCACACCCAACTTGAGATTTTGACCTTTCAAGTTGCAGTTACCTGGGTTTACTAAATATAAAAATAACATCTGATGCTGGGCGGTGGCACATGCCTTTAGTCCCAGCACTTGGGAGGCAGAGGCAGGTGGATCTCTGTGAGTTTGAGGCCAGTCTGGTCTACATAGAGAGTTCCAGGTCAGCTGGGGTTACAGGGAGACCTTGTCTCAAAAAATAAGTAAATTATTAAATAAATAAATAAATAAATAAATAAATAATAAAAATAACATCTGATGCGTATCTAGTCAGGCACTATTGTAAATACACCCCCATTTTATAGAGAAAACTGAGGCACAGGGGGGCTAAATCATTTGTGCAAAGACAAGACACAGCTAGTACATTTTTCAGAGTGGAAGGAAATACAGCAGCATGTGTATGGTGGTTTCTCAGGCCAGCTGTGGCGTTCATCCCACATGTGGTCCTGGGTATCCAGGCTTTGGTGTCAGACTTCTAGTATCAGGCACCAAGAGGTTTTCCATTATTTTTCTATTACTCTTCTACAACCCCAGTATGCCTTCACCTATGCCCTAAATGAATTTCTAGAGATAAAAGTCACAGTCTGGGCGGCTGCAGAGATGGCTGAGTGGTTAAGAACACTGGCTGTTCTTCCAGAAGACCCGGGTTTAAATCCCAGCACCCACATGGCAGCTAGCAACTGTCCATAATTCCAGTCCCAGGGGATCCGACAGCCTCTTGTGTCCTCTGTGGGCATTGCATGACACGGGTGCACTTACCTACATGCAGACAATACACGAATTACACATAAAATAAAAATAATAAGTAAAATTTTTAAAAAATCACAGTCTGGAAAGTTAAAAAAAAAGAAAATACTATAACTATAATAATAACTAAACTTATAACATTTTGAAAGTAAAAATATGCCGTGTATGGTGGCGCACACCTTTAATTCCAGCACTCAGGAGGCAGAGGCAGGCAGATCTCTGTGAGTTCAAAGCCAGACTGGCCTACATAGTGAGTTCAAGGACAGCTGGGGCTACAGGGAGACCAAAAAAAAGTAAAAATATGTAATTATATTTTAGAATATAAATTTACAATTTTATATGACTATAATCTTTGAATATTATTTACTGACAAATCTGTACTACCAAGCTTCAACAATAACGTGAAATTTGCCATTGTTTCTATAATGTAAGTTTGCCATTTACTCCCTTTCCAACTTCTCCACTTAAAAAAGTTTTTCAGTGTAATCATGGTATTTCTTAAAGAAAGCAATACTAATAAAATATTTTAAATAAAAATTCAAAATAACAAACAAGAAAACAGGCAGCTCAGCTGGAGCAGGTGGCAGACTCCAGAACCACACACAAAAAAATAATGGTGGAGCTTACAGACCAACCAGCTCCATGTGAAGTTGGGGGAGAATGGGGTGTCTAAGAAGACTCTACTCTCTGCCTTGGGGACTAGGTGGCCATTTTTACTAGGGAAGGAAATACAAGTGGTGGAATAGGAGTGGGAAAGTTAAGGCACTCAGTTATGACACACTGAGCTTTGTTGGAACACTGCAATCTGTGAATTTACTTTATGTGTTTGAGTATTATACCTGCATGTAGGTAAGTGCACCCATGTTGTGCAGTGCCCAAGGAGGACAAAAGAGGGTGTCAGATCTCCTAAAAATGGAGTTACAGACAGTTGTTAGCTGCCATGTGGGTGCTGGGATTTGAACCCAGGTCCTCTGCAAGTAGAGACAGTGTGCTTAACCACTGTGTCATTTCTTGAGCCCTCTCAAATTTTAAATTGGAGAGATTAGGTTTGGATTTGAGCATTTCACACATAACCAGTAGTTAAACCCAAAAGGGAGGTTGCCATGACCCAGGGAAGGAGTAGAAAAAGAAAAAAAAGCTCTGAGCCAAGGCCAGAGAACCCTGAAGAGCCCCAACATTTATAGAATACATGAGGAATAAAAAGCCCATTCAGATCAGACATTTATTTTATTTTTTTCAGACATTTAAAAAATATATATTTTATTTAGTATTTTTATTTTATGTGTATGAGTATATTGCCTGCATGTATGTGAGTGCACCCGTGTCATCCAATGCCGCGGAGGTCAGAAGAGGGCTTCGGATTCCCCTGGAACTGGAGTTAAGGATGGTTTGTAGCTGCCGTGTGGGTGCTTGGAATCAAACCTGGGTCCTCTGCAAGAGCAGTCAGTGCTCTTAACTGCTGAGCCCCAGAGATCAGACATTTATAACAGTACATGCATGTTATCCCAGCACTCAGGAGGTGGAGGCAGGAGGACGAGGAATTCAAAGCCAGCTTGGGATACACAAGGCTGTCTCAAAAAACCAGTCAACCAGGCCGGCAAGATGGCTCAGTGAGTAGAAGTGGTAAAGGTGAAAGGTGCTGACCTGAGTTCAATCCCTGGTACCTACATAGAGGTGAATGTAGAGGAGGGACTCCACAAACTATCCTTTGAGCTACACACGTGCACATGCCCTCCCTCACAACTAATCTACTAAATCAAACCAAACTGAAATCCCACATGTAGATAAAAAGTTCAGTATGTTTGCTTTTCAACCTGGGTTGGTGAGAAGCAAGGTGACATGGACACAGGCCACTTGGACAAATCTGCCACTCACTAGTTGTGTGACAGTTCTTAAGTATCTATGAAATGGGAATATCACTGTATTGGTTACTTTTCTCACTGTTGTGACAAAAACAGCTGATAAAAACAACGTAGGGTTTATTTTGCTTCACTGTTTGAGGAGATGGTTCATGATGGCAGGGGGAAGACATGATGACAGGAGCTTGGAGCAGCAGCTGGTCACATTTTCTCAGTCAGGAAAAAGAGAGATGAATGCTGGTGCTCAGCTAGCTCTTTTATTACTTTTATATGTATGAGTGTATTGCCTGCATGTATGTGAGTGCACCCGTGTCGTGCAATGCCCAGGAGGTCAGAAGAGGGCTTTGGATTCCCCTGGAACTGGAGTTAAGGATGGTTCATAGCCACCATGTGGGTGCTGGGAATCGAACCCAGGTCCTCTGCAAGAGCAGTCAGTGCTCTTAACTGCCGAGCCATCTCTCCAGCCCCGAGCTCTCTCTTTTTTTATTCAGTCCAAAGCTCCAGCAGATGGGATGGTGCTGCCCACATTTACAGCAAGTCTTCCTGCCTCAGTTAACCGAATCTAGAAACTCGCTCAGAGACTCTGAGACAAACCCAGAGGTCCTAGGTGATTCTAGAGCCTGTCAAGTTGACAATATTAGCCACCACAACAAGGACCAATGTACTACTCTCACTATTGTGAGGGTTAAATGGTTAATTAACAAAATACTATGGCTGGGCATGGTGGTACAGGCCCTTAATCCCAGCATTCCCTAGGCAGAGGCAGGTGGATCTCTGTGAGATGGAAGCCAGCCTGTTCTCCAGTGTCAAAAAACCAAAATAAAATTAAATAAAAATAAAAAGTACCCATGCAGTACAGCACCTAGAATGTAACAGAAATTCCACAAATATAAATGTTTTTCATTCCACTGTCATACTTTGTGAGTTGAATAAACAGTCAGGATGACTGTTGCCTAGCCAGAATAAAGTGGGAATTAATTCTCTAAGAAACTTGCTAAAATAATTCATAAGTAGACTCTGAAGAACTGTGAATTTCCAAGAATTTGTATGGCATAGTGTGGTAAGTGGGAGTATTAACAGCAGGCTGAAAGAATTGACTGGTGTGCTCACTTCCAAAGCACATGTTCTAGAATTAGAACAATACAGAAAAGATCAGCATGGCCGTATGCAAAAATGACTCACAAATTCCTGAAGAATTTCATATTCTATTTTGAAGACAAGGTCTCATGTAGCCCAGGCTGTCCTCAAACTTTCTATGTAGCTGAGGTGACCTTGAACTCTTGATTTTCTTTAATTTAAAATTTTTATTTACTTGAAGGCTGGAGAGATGGCTCCATGGTTAAGAACACTGACTGTTCTTGTAGAAGACCCAGGTTCAAATCCCAGCACCCACAGGGCAGCTAACAACTGTCCGTAACTCCAGTTCCAGGGGATCCGACAGCCTCTTCTGTCCTCTGTGGGTATTGCAAGACACAGGCACACTTACCTACATGCAGGCAATACATGCATACACATAAAAATAAAAAATAAAATTTAATAAAAATTTTATTTATGTGTATGTATGCCTTCATGAGTATGTTTATGTGCCTGTGGGAGCCAGAGGGCATGGGATCCCCTGGAACTGGAGTTACAGATGGTTGTGAGCCTCGTGGTGGGTGCTGGAAACCTAACCTGAGTCCTCTGCAAGAGCAGTAAACGCTCTTAAGGCTGAGCCATCGAGACATGGTTCCTAAATCTTGATTTTCTTGCCTCCTCCTCCTAGTGCTGAGATTACAGGAATGTACCACCACATCAGATTTAGGCAGTGCTGGGGACTGAACCCAGGGCTCCAGGCAAGCACTCTTCCAACTACATCCCCAGCCCTGTAAATTCCTGAAATATTCTAAATTTTTGCATGAAAACTTAGAAAACAAGTAAATGGGCTTGGGAGATGGCTCAGAGGTGAAAGCACTGCCCAGGGAAGCCTGGGGACTCAGCTTGGATCCTATCAGAGTCTACTTCATGCAGCAGCTGGAACCATTGTCTGCACAAAATCTTTGATAAATATACTGAGAGAAGGTAACAGTGATTTTTAACAGAAGGGAGATAATTTCTTATGTCTATTAGTCATTTCATGAGTTGAAGAATTCCTCACTCGTGGAAAGGGACTAGGGGATGACATGCACTTGGTATTGTCATTTGAGGCTATGCAGCTCATTCTCCCATGAATGACTGAAGCAAACCCAAGCCCTTAACTGCCCTCATTTGGAAGGTTTAGAACCCACAGAAGGGCCACTAAGATGCAAATATGTCATCTGTAGACGGGAGCCAAGTTGGCAAGTGGCACACACCCACACATTTATCCGCTGGGGTGTGTGAATAGCTGGCAGTCTCCCAGCGCTCTATACACCCGGGGGAGGAAGAGTGGACTCTGAGCGACCTGCCAGCTCCAAAGCAGCCTGACATCAGGGAGAGTCAGGACAAAGGCAGCACTGGGAGGCCCCAGAGGTGAGGCTCCACCACTCTGGGTCTCCTCCATCACCTGGGCCTTTCCTAAAACCGTCTGGCTCGCTTCGGGATGGGTGGAGCACCACCAGCACGAAAGTAGCTAAATCGAGTTAAACATCCGAAATGCCTATTTTGCTTTTTTTTCCGTTCAGCCTGTTGAATTTCTATGCGCTCTTTAAGCTGCCGGCAGTGTGCATTACACGGGCCTCTGCTGGACCTCTGCAAAGGGTCTTCGACTTCTAAAGGACCCGTGGACGCCAGTCGGTAAGTGCTCTTCAGCCTGGTGGAGCGCAACTCCGCGGTCCTTCCTACAAGGTCTACCGCTCCACCCGGAGGAAACTGCGGAGGCGGCCCAGACTGACACGTCCGGTGCGTCGGGAGGCGGGGCCGAGGGCTCTGACGTCACGGCCCCGCCCCGCCCCCAGATATCAGCGGCGTTGCCCGCCATTTTGTCTCAGTGTCTGGCTTGCCGTCCGCCGTGTTGGCGGTCTGTAGTCCCAGGGCGTGAGGCAGCGCGCCATCTCTTTGTCTGTGGAGATCCAGTCGCTCGGCCCGAGGCCTCTTGCGTGCTTCTCAGCGCAGCGGCCGTCCGCACCGCCTGCTCCTTCCCGGTAGCCGGGAGGGACCGAGCCGCGTCACACCCCTCAACGCCCGCCGAGTCCCTTCTCTCTCGTCGCGTCCGCATCGCGTTCCCGGAATCAGACGGTGCCCCATAGATGGCCAGCTTTCCCCCGAGGGTCAACGAGAAAGAGATCGGTGAGGCCCGAAACGGTGGGGGAGCGTGGGGACCGGAGTGGGACTCGAGTGGGACCGGCTGCTGGCGGCTGGAGGAAGTGGCCCCGCCGTGGGCGTCGGCCCGGACTGAATGGACCGCGGCGCCCAGGGAGCGCGGAGGGAAGCCCTGGGAGCCCCTCGTGCCCCGGATCTATCCTCAGCTCCCGGCGCGGGTTCCCGATCCTGGGATTCCCTAGGCTTCGGGCTTGGGGCGTCGAATGATTGCGGCTGGTTACTAGCCGGAGCTCAGTGGCGTGTCTCAGGAGCTCTGAAGTTTGTGATGGGTAGAAAGTGAACTTTTGTGCTGTGAGCACACAAGCTCCTCTGTCCCAGCCACTCTGCGGTGAGCAATGGGCCAGAGGAGGTGCCCACAGCCGGGGAAACGCAGTGTGTAAAAAATAATGGCGTTAACAAAAGTTTCAGGGTTGTAGTTCCTATACAGAGGGGAGGGACGGAGTGGTTGGGTCGGGTGATAGGAGGGCTCTTGTACAGAGGAGCCAAGCCAGGAAAAGCTTCTCCAGAGTGGTCCAGTGGCTACCCCTGTAACGCGCCAGGCTGCAGAAGGGACAAAGGCAGTGTACGGGTGTGGGTCACACTTACTCTGAAGCTCCTTTTAAAGCATTATTTAAATCCAAAGAAATCTCCTGTGAGACCCTTGGGGAGAGATGAGTAGTCTGAAATCCTCAGTAGTCCTTTACATGTTAATTACTGCATCTTCAAAAAAAATAGTTGGGCGTGGTGCGGTGGCCCAGCACTCGGGAGGCAGAGGCACGCGGTTCTCCGAGTTCGAGGCCAGCCTGGTCTGCGTAGTGAGTTCCAAGCCAGCTTCAAGGAGACCCTGTCTAAAAAAAAGACTGAAAAAAAAAAAGTTGGCCAGTTGTGGTGGCTCACACCTTTAATCCCAGCACTCCAGGCAGATCCAGGTCTGGGCCAGACTTCGTCCATATAGGGAATTACAGGCCTGCGAGGGCTAGGTACTGAGACCCTGCCTCAAAAAAAATTTCTTTTTATCTTTTTGAGATAGGGTCTCCCTGTAGCCCCAGCTGTCCTGGAACTCAAGTTGTCAGTGGCTACCCAGCAGAGAGCCAGCAGAGAGTTTTTCTGCTCTTGAAGAAAGTGTAGTCCTTTACCAAATACTTGGAGGAAGAGATATTTCTAGAAAAGGGAAGAAACTGGATGATTCCAGTGTGTGAATGAATTTGTGCACCAAAAAACGCTGTAACCGAGTCGGAGACATGTTATTTTAAGGTTACAATAATTTTTTAAAATTTTGTTAGCCAGGTGTGGTGGTGCACTCCTTTAATCCCAGCATTTGGGAGGCAGAGGCAGGCGAATCTCTGTATTCAAGGCCAGCCTGGTCTACTTGGTGAGTCCCAGGCCAGCTGGGACTACTGGAAGACCCTGCCTCAAAAAGACCAAAAAAAAAAAAAAAAAAAAAAAAAAAAATTCTTTTTGAGACATTCCTGACTGGCCTGTGAAACGACTTATGTAGACCAGGTGAGCCTCAAACTCAGCAATCCACTTGCCTCCCCTTCCTGAGTGTTGGGATTAAAGGAGTGCTCTACCATTCCCAGCTAGGAATTAAAAAAAAAATTATGTGTATGAGTGTATTACTCTTACCTCTGTAGGTGCAGGTGCCCCCAGGTCAGGAGGAGGTCAGAAGAGGGTATCAGATCCCCTGGAACTATAGTTAAGGATGCTTGTTAGTTACCATGTGGGTGCTGGGAACTGAACCCAGGTTTTCTGCAAGAGCAGCCAGTTAGTGCTCTTTTTTTTTTTTTTTTTTTTTTTTTTTTTTTTGTCTTTTTGAGACAGAGTCTCCCTTGTAGCTCCAGCTGGCCTGAAAGTTACTGTGTAGACCAAGCTGGCCTCGAACTCAAAGAGACCTGCCTGCCTCTGCCTCTGCCTCCTAAGTGCTGGGACTAAAGGCCTTGTGCCACCACTCCCTGCTGCCAGTGAGTGCTCTTAACCACTGAGCCATCTCTCCAGTCCAAGGAGATGATTTTTAATCTTACTTTTAGTAACTATGTTAAAGCTATAGAGAACACACAAAATTTCTGCACTAGTTAGTATTTTAAAACTAGTGCTAAGTGTTTTGAACTCAAACCCTTAAACAATTTTTAAAAATTGGGGAAGGGGGAAATGATGCTAGACAAGTGTTCTGCCACTGAGCTATATTTCCTTCAAAAATTCTTATGATCTGGGGCCAGAATGATGCCCCAGTGGTTAAGAGTACTCACTGACTGCTCTTGCAGAGGACCCATGATCTGTTGCCAGCACCCACATGGCAGCTAACAACTGTCTGTCCTTATCCACAGTGCATGACATGGGTGCACTTACATACATGCAGGCAATACACTCATATAAATAAAATTAGAGGGGCTGGAGAGATGGCTCAGCAGTTAAGAACACTGGTTGTTCTTGCAGAAGACCCAGGTTCAAATCCCAGCACCCACATGGCAGCTAACAACTGTCTGTCCTTATCCACAGTGCATGACATGGGTGCACTTACCAACATGTAGGCATAACACTCATATGCATAAAATAAAAGTAATAAAATATTTTTTAAAAATAAAATTAGAATAAAAATTTTAAAAAATAAAAATTCTTATCTGTTTTTTTTTTTTCCTTCCCCTCTACTACACCATAATACTGTACATTTATCTGTACTTTGAAACTTTTCTTGTCTTCTTTTCTAAGGGAATGAATGGATAGTGTTTCTTCAAGTACCTGCTAAGGCAGAACCATTCATTAAATACTGTCCATTAATCTTTGGGGGTGGCTCTCTTTATCCCCAGCTGGCCTAGAGCCTGCTAGATAGACCAGGCTGGCCTCTACCTCCCTAGTACTGGGATTAAAGGCATGTGCCACCCCCTCAGCTATGTTGATTTATTTTATCTATTTATTTTTTGGTCTTTTTGAGACAGGGTCTCCCTATAGCCCCAGCTGGTCTGGAACTCACTTTGTAGACCAGGCTGGACTTGAACTCCCAGATCTGCCTGCCCCTGCTTCCCCAGTGCTGGCCTTAAAGGTGTGCCACCATACCTGCCGATGTTCATTAATTTTTAAAGAGTTTTTCATTCTTTTTTTTTTCTTTAATATTTTATGTCTGTGAGTATAATCCTGTATGTAGGTGAGTGCACCCATATTGTACAATGCCTGTGGAAGTCAGAAGTGGGCATCAGATCCACTGGAACTGGAGTTACAAGTCGCTACTAGCAGCCACATGGGTGCTGGGAATCGAACCCGGGTCCTACCAAGAGCAGTCAGTGGTCTTAACCGCTGAGCCATCTCTCCAGCCCCGAGGGTTTCATTCTTGTGTCTCATTTCCTGGGTATGCTATAGAAAGTAAATAAGTGCCAAATGTCTTAGAATTTGGCCCTTTTGTCACGTGCCTTTAATCTCAGTACTTGGAGGCAGGTGGATCTCTGTGAGTTCAAGGTCAACCTGGTCTACATATAGTGAATTCTAGGCCAGCTGGGCCTACGAGGAGACCCTGTCTCAAAAACAAAAAGAATTTTGAGCTTTTTTAAAGTGGCAGTTTCTTTGTTTTTGAAGTGTCATTTGGATACAAGGTTAAACATTTATGTCAATAGCTTTGTATCTGAATAAGGACCCCTTCCCTCATGCCAAGTTTGGATTCTCGAGAGTAGAGGCCAGCTTCCATGAATGACTGTGACTTCTGTGTTAGAGGGATGTCACTGCCTTGAGCTATTGCTGTCTTCAAGGCACTGCCCTGCTTCCCTTCTGGTTGTGAAACTGGAGGGAGGAATGTGAAGGATTTAAATCTGGTTTGCTTGGTTCAGTGGTGACTCACATTGTGTAGATATCATCATTTTTTAGGGTCAGTTTTCCGGGATTAAAGGTGTGTTCCCCCATGCCTGGCATGTTAGTGAGTGCATCTATAATGGCCATTAAGGATAATTTAACCAACAAAATGTGATGAAATTAGTAAGGTGGGAGATGGAACATGGATGGAAAATGGATTTGAACCTGTAGTCTGAGGAATGGTTGAAGGGACTGGAAATAACTTTAGTCTGGCAAAGGCACAGTTGTTGGTGTAGTGGCTGTCTTCTGAACATCTGTGACATGTGAGTGCAGGAGCATTGTGTTTTTTCTTAGGTCAGAGTTGGGACTGAGTGGATGAAGAGGGTAGAAGGAAAAATTTGAGTGACTGTAAAGAAAATTTTATTTAAGCAAAATGGTTTCATTCACCTTAGTAGTGGTGGGTATCATGATACTTTCACACCAAGCAACATTGCAGAATGTTACAGAAAAATAAGTATCAAATTTCTTGGTTTGTGGGGTTCTTTTATATTTTATTTAAATTATACTCGTTTGTATCCAAAAATTGGGCAAGGAACATATTTAAACCACTTAAGAATGGAAGTGTGTACTTGCGCTTTGGTATTTGTTCAGTAAATACTGAGCAGCTGTTAAGCCAGGTGCCAGACTAGCTCCTTCCACACAGACTGGAAATAACACTAAACAAGTCTTGTTTGCTTTGTTGTTTTGAACCCAAGGCCTTATGCATGCCAGATAAACATTCTACCACTGAGCTATTTTTCCAGCCTTTTTATTTTTTATTTTGAGACAGGGTCTAAGGATCCTGAGTAACTGGAATTACAAGTGTGTGCCACCACACTCAGATGAACAAGTACATTAGGGGGGTTTTGAACATACCAGCTCTAGCTGTAGGAATGTAAGTGCAGGAGTAGAGAGATGGCTCAGTGGTTGAGTGCTGTCAGCTCTTACAAAAGACCTGGGTGCCAAGCACGCCCATGGCAGATAACACGTGTAACTCCAGTTCCAGGGGATCTGATGCCCATTTCTGGCCTCTGTAGGCATTGTACACATGTGATACACTTCACATGCAAGCAAAACACATAAAAGTAAAACATTTGAACAATTTGTTTTAAAAAAAGTATATAAATACTGTTTATTATTCATGAATTGTTCTGAATACATTGACATTAATGGAGGACAGTTTAAGCCAAAAACATAAAAAAACACATTGCCATATACTACACCAAAATTCGGAATTAAGACCAACCTGACATTGGTAGTCAGTGAAGATCTGTTTCCTAAATTGAAAAAAAAATTCAACTGAGTTTTCATGTTTACATTACAGTCTTTTATGTTTTTAATGTAGCCAAGGGTGGCTTAGAACTGATTATGTAGCTGAGGATGACCTGGGAATTCTGGTCCTCTGCCTACTTTATGCTATGGTGGATGAGAAACCAGGACTTCAAGTGTATTAGGCCAGCTTTCTGCCAACAAAGCTTCCTCTCTAACCCAATGCTTTATGGTTCTTTAAAGCTAAACTGTTTTTCAGACTTTTTGATGTAGGGTCTCCCTGTAGTCCTAACTGGCCTGTTATTCACTTTGCAGACAGGCTGACCTTGATCTCACAGAGACCCCACTGCCTCTGCCTCTCAGGTGCTGAAAAATCCTGATTCTTGCCTACTTCTTTCCTCTCCCTTACCTATTTTATCAGGTATTCCTACATAATCCCGGCTAGTCTTTTTTAAAATATTTTATTATATTTTTATGTGTATGAGCATATTGCCTTTGCCTTGCATGTATGTCAGGTCTTCCTACATAATCCTGGCTAGGCTTTTTAAAAAATATTTTATTTTATGTATATGAGCGTATTGCCTGCCTGCATGTGTGTAAGTGCAGTGCCCTCAGGAGTCAAGACGGCATCCCTTGGAACTGGAGTTACCGATGTTTGTTAGCCACCATTTGGGTGCTAGGATTCAAACCCAGGTCCTCTGCAAGAGCAGCCAGTGCTCTAAACTGCTGAGCCATCTCTCTAGCCCCCAGGCTAGTCTTAAACTCCCAATCCTCATACCCACACCTCTCTACTACACTGAAACTTTGTGACAAAGTCTCATGTAGCTAAGGCTGGGTTTGAACTCCTGATCCTCTTGCCTGAGCCTGAGTCCTGGGAGTATAGGTATGTACCACCATACATACTTTGTATGTGGCATACTTTGTATTGTGAAATACTCTTGGATTGTAAAATTTTAGGAGGGTCACTATGAAAACAAAGATAGCCTCTTCTATTTATGGTTGGAAAGCAGACCAAACCCTGTCTAAAGGAAAAGGGGAAGACCTCGGTGCATTTCAAAGGAGGCAGTCTCATATCCATTGTTGGGTTATATGTAATGTCTTGTATTTTTTTCTTTTAGTGAGATCACGTACTATAGGTGAACTTTTAGCTCCAGCAACTCCTTTTGAAAAGAAATGTGGTCGTGAAAACTGGACTGTTGCTTTTGCTCCAGATGGTTCATACTTTGCTTGGTCACAAGGTCATCGAACAGTGAAGCTTGTCCCATGGTCCCAGTGCCTTAAGAACTTGTAAGATTTTAAGTTTTTTCTTTCTATTTTATGTGAATAAATGTTTTGCCTCCTTGTATGCATGTGTACCTGGTGTGTGCAGTGCCAACAGGGGGGACTCGGGCTGGGAGCTAAACCCAGGTCCTCTGCAAGAGCAGCCCATGTTCTTAACCACTGAGCCATCGCTTGCCCTATGCAAAGCTTTTTTGTTTTGCTTTTAAATTTTTTATTTTTTGTGTATGAGTGTTTTTCCTACATGTATACAAGTACAGCTGTGTTGTACAAAGTCCGAAGCAGCCAGAAGAAATGTCAGATCCCCTGAAACTGGGGTTACATCTGAGTACTGGGAATTGATCCCAGGTCCTCTGGTAGAGCAGCCAGTGGTCTTAACTGCTGAGCCATCTTTTGAGACAGAATCTCCCTGTATCCTCAGCTGGCTTTTTTTAAAAAAATTATTTAAAGTAGTTTTATTGCTTCAGTACACACAACAAATGTATGCCACTAGAGCAGAGGCTGTGGACAATTCATTTTCCAATTGGGTGGGAGGACCCACTTAGTCTTATAATAACAAGCCAGCCGGTGAATTTTGCTATCAGAATCAGGTGGAATTTAGCATCCTTATCCTTTCTGTTCCTCTCAAGATGCTTGCAAATAGCAATTGCTTTTTTAATTAGGTGGTAGAGATCCTCAGGAAGATCAGGAGCCAGTCCTTTGGACTTAAGGATTCTCAAAATCTTATTGCCAGTCACAAAACGGACTTGTGCAACACCATGGGAGTCCTTCAGAATCACACAGATCTGGGGTGGAGTCAGGCCTTTCTTGGCCAGCTTGTAAATCTGCTCCTTCACATCATCAGACATCAGCTAAAGCCAGGTGGGGACACTGGGGTGTAAACAGACCCTTACTGCTGCAAGTGTGCATGCGACCTGCGGTCTGGCAGCAAAGAGAGAACAAGGGAGGAAATGCCGCAGGAAGGCTCTTTTTTTTTTGAGATAGGATGTCTGTGTAGCCCCAGCCCAACTGGCCTAGATCTCAAAGAGCTACCTGTCTGTACCTCCCAAGAGCTGCATTAAAGCCATGTACTGCCACGTCCAGCTTGACAATAACTTAAGTTATTGGAATTTTTGTTTATACTTCTAGTTTTTTATTGTAAAGGCAGCAACTTTTTATTTAAGGGATTTCACAGGACTTACAGTCTCTGAAGGTCACTGGAGTTCAAGATTTTTCTTCAAGGTAACCCTTTCTGAAAGAACTGATGTTTAATCCAGCTGTGCTACCAGCCCATGGTTCTCTTATTTAAACTCCTTTTACCACTGCTTGATTTAAGAACATTCATGACAACTTCAGGGCTCTCCATCTGACGTCTATGGCATCTGATTTCTTTTTTAAAAAATATTTTATTAAAAAAAAAAAGTCTGACTTCTTGATTCATGATGTCAGTCCTGCTAGTGTCAAATTAAACTCCCTCTCCTCACCTGAAAAAAAATTTTTTCTTTTTCTGTGTATGGGTGTTTTGTCTGCATGTATGTAAGTGTACCTCTGTTGTGCAGTCTCCTCTGAAGTCAAAAGAGGGTGCCAGATCCCCTGGAACCAGAGTTACAGGTGATTGTTGCTTGCCATGTGGGTGCTGGGAACTGAACCTGGGTCCTCTGGGAGAGCAGCCAGTGCTCTTAATTGCTGAGCCATCTCTCCAGCACTCTTATTTTATTTTATTTTTTTTGATACAGTGTCTCCCTGTAGACCTAGCTGACCTGGAACTCACTGTGTAGACCAGGCTGGCCTCAATCTCAGAGATCTGCCTGTCTCCTCCCTAATTCTAGGACTAACGGCATGCAACGCCACACTCAGCTCTGCATCCACTTAACTTTCATATTGACATTGGACACTGACTAACAGTGCCCATTTTTGCATAGAATGAAGCTTATACTTCTACTTTGTTAAAGTGATGGTAGTAGGGGGTGGTGTTTGCTGTTCCTACAGAGAACCCTCTCCCAGCAGTCAGAAAGGCTGCTCCCAACTCCCTGTCACTCCAGCTCTAGGGGAACTGATGGCCTTTTTTGGCTTCCACAGGTACTTGCACATATGTGGCGCATATATATATATACACACACACACACACACACACACATATTTTTTTAAACAAATTCTTAATCTATAAGGTATTGAAGAAAGATTGGAAGGCAAATATGATAAATTGCCTTTCTCATCTATTGGAGTAATGTTGTAATTGTATTGACAGTATTTAACAAGTAGTAATAATGACTATCTCCAAGAGTCCAGAGTAAATAACTCATTTTACGTCTTCTCCTCTCAGTCTTTTACATGGCTCCAAGAATGTTAACAATTCAAGCAGTCTAAGATTGGCAAGACAAAATAGTGATGGTGGTCAGAAAAACAAACCTTGTGAACATATCATAGACTGTGGAGATATAGTCTGGAGTCTTGCTTTTGGATCTTCAGTTCCAGAAAAGCAGAGTCGCTGTGTAAACATAGAATGGCATCGATTCAGATTTGGACAAGATCAGCTACTCCTTGCCTCAGGATTAAACAATGGTCGCATCAAAATATGGGATGTATATACAGGTATGGATTCATAGTTTCAAAGAAAACCTTGTTTTATGATAGAGGATACTGTTCATAGGCACCAGAATAGATATCATTTGAAGGTTTTAATGTACTGAGAAATATAAATTAGTATTATGTATAATTTTATAATTGTTCTGTATCTTCAGTTCATAATTTCAGAAAGCAATATATAGAGAGTTCACATTGCTTGATTATAGAGTATGAAGGATATGTAGGTAGTATTGTAGTTAAGTATTTATAAGCTAGTAATTCAGTATAAGACTCAAATAACAAAACATATATTCATTCTTTCAGTAATACCTTAGAGATATTTTGCAAGGCAAGTCAGGTTTTTTTTGAGGCAGGGTCTCATGTGATCCAAACTGGCCTCTTACTATGTAACCAAGGATGTCCTTGAACTTCTGATCTTTTTGCCTTCGCCTTCTAAGTGCTAGGAGTACAGGCATGTGTTACCGTGTCTGGCTTTATGTGGTGATGAGCATCTAACCCAGGGCTTCATGCACACTAGACAGGATTTTGTGACTCAACACAGTGGCATTTCTTTTTGACTTTTACTCACTCCATCTCCAGCTGCAATTCAGATTTAGCAATGAATATTTAACCTATAGATGGTTTTAGTGGCAGTGTTGTCAAGTCTTATCAGGTGGCTGTTCAAACTGGCTGTGGTGATAGAACACTTGTGATCCTAGCACTTGGGAGGCCGAGACACCAGCCCTGGTATATATACCAGGCAGCATGAACTACCTGATAGATCATCTCAAGCAAGTACTTAAGGCAGTTCGTACAGTGGTAAAGTACTTGCCTAGCATTGTTTCAGGCCTGGGGTTCAGTCCCCAGCACCACAAGAGAGAAAGTTTTGTTTGCTGCCTTAAAACTTGATGGATAATGTGTGTCTTGTGGGGAGTTTGATATTCCATTAAGGCAAAGAATATAATAGACAAAGGGGAAACATGGTATTTTGATTTCTGTATATTTGGTGGAAGGAGAAAGTCTCAAAAAGGAAAGTGACAATGATATTAATGCTTGGTATTAAATTAACTTGATCTAGAAGTTTGCTTACATTTCAGTCATTCCCTTTACATTTCTCTAATAAATAAGAGTTTTGTTATCTTGAAAAGAAACTTTAAAAACCCTGTAAATAGTGAATCTTCACAGGTAACAATAGCAGTAATGAATAAGCATTGGCCCTAATAAATGAAATGTCACACTTGATTAAAAAAAAGAGGTACCAAAGAGGTTTTGTTCATCTTTAAATGTCTTTAAAAAGTTAACAACCCTATATTTAAAGTAGAAGCTAATAAAATTACTAATCTTGTCCTTTTTTCTCTCCCTTCATTCACATTTAGGAAAACTCCTCCTTAATTTGGTAGACCACACTGAGGTGGTTAGAGATTTAACTTTTGCTCCAGATGGGAGTTTGATCCTAGTGTCAGCTTCAAGAGACAAAACTCTCAGAGTGTGGGACCTAAAAGATGACGGTATGTCTTTTCCCTGGCTATGTAAAGACTGAATTTCTAGACATTATTATTGAGAGATAGGAACATCTGGGGCATTGAACTTTAGAAGTGGCATAAGATTGGTTGCCTGTGTGGTAAAGTAACACCTGTAACCTCAGCACTGAGAGTCTGAGGCGGGAAGATTCAGAACACAAGGCCAGGCTTGACTATTTAAAAGGCCCCATATCAGAAAAACAATGAAATGAAAAATGGTAAGTGATCAAGGCTCCTTTTGTTTATTTAATTCTTTGATCCCATTCCTGTATAGATCAAACATAGATGTGTGCCTGAATAGGAGCCAGCAGTTACTATAAGTAAATAATATGTTACTGTTCAGAAACTAACCACACAGATCTCTATCTCCTGATTTGAGGACAAAATTTGGGTTAGTTTTAGGGTTGTTCATGAACCAATCTATGGTATTTCTTTTTTAAATTTATGTGTATGAGTGTATTGCCTACATGTAGGTAGGTACACCTGTGTCTGCAATGTCCTCGGATGTCAGAATAGGGCTTCAGGTCCCCTAGAACTGGAGTTAGAAACAGTTGTTAGCTGCCATGTGGGTGCTGGGAATCAAATCCAAGTCCTCTGCAAGAACAGTCAGTGCTTTTAATTGCTGAACCAACTCTCCAGGTTCCTGTTATTTATCTTAGGGAGAGCTATTAATTTCTTTGGTTTATGAAAAAAAATTTTAAGTATGCTTAAAGCAACAAACTTAGTAATCCAATAAATTTAGATTATAGATAGCATAATTTACTTACCAGGATTTATAATATGTAGAGTGCTAGTAAGCACAGGACATAATAAATTCTTTCATATAAAGAGATCCCCTCCCCTCCAATATAGTAGAGAAGTATGTTGGTATGGTCAGTTTTTTCCTGAAAGTTTGTATTTTTTATTTCAAAGTTTTAAATTAAAACTTAAATTAATTAGGACTTGCCAATACACTGAGCCTCACTTGGAAGGTGGCAAGCTTGCTTAGGAGTAAAATAGCCTAAAATCCACTGTAGTAGGAAACCAGTCACCTGTAACTTGAAATTAGGCCAGGCATCCTGACCAACACCTTTAACCCCAGCACTCAAGAGGCAGAGGAGGCAGGTGGATCTCTGAGTGTGAGGCAAGCCTGGTCTACATAGGGCATTCCAGGCCATCCAAAGCCATACAGTGAGACCTCATCTAAATAGTAATAAAAGTGGGAAAAAAAAAAACGCTCACATTACCAAACCATGAGGAATCTATTAGCATTTCTCTGATTGTTCAGGTCTTCAGGGGGAGAGTTAATCTGTGTAAACATAGTTGTGTACTATGAGTATATAGTAAAAACAAGGACTTTGGAGTGTAGGCTATTAAAATGGAAGAAGGATAAAAAGCATTTCCAAAATGGTCATTCAATCTTTTAAACTTAATATGTCTAGTTCCTTCATTTGTAGAAAAGAAAACTGAACTAAAAGAATTCTGTGTTCTATAGATGAAGGGCCACAGACATTTTTTTTAAAGGCTAGATGTTAAATATTTTAGGTTTTTGACTAAAATATTTAGTCTGTCTTTGCCATAGTAATATATAAAAACAACAGGCATGATTGTGTTCTCAAATTTTACTTAACAAAAGTAGCATGTGGTAGCTAGTGACAGCCACTGTTGCAGGTAGTTTTCAGCTTTGTGGTATGAATTACCTCCATGAATTGGAAGTGTATCCTACTTACACAGATATTTCTTTTTGTTCAGGAAATATGATGAAAGTATTGAGGGGGCATCCGAACTGGGTGTACAGCTGTGCATTCTCTCCTGACTCTACTATGCTGTGTTCAGTTGGAGCCAGTAAAGCAGTATGTGTCAAAGTTCTTGTACATTTATTGTAAATTGGATTATAATGTATGGATAATCATTTTAAATCTTAGTAACCTATTAAGTCTCTGCTCGGTGTCATGAATACCTTAAATGTATTATTTCATGATGGGGAGAATTTGCATGTAAAGAGTTAGTTACTTGTGAAGTGAAGAAGTTGAATTTCTTTCAGAGATACTCATAACATGAGGGTATGTCAGATTTTTTTAAGAACTAGAAAATTATACATGCTATAGATAAGATGTTAAAATACTCCCTTGCTAATTATTTTTCTTGTTCTATTTTTTTGTCCAGTTTGCTGTTTTTAAAGTTTTGAATCCCAGCTGGTCCTGGACATTTAGCTGAAAAAAAAAAAAAAAGTAACTTGAAAGCACAATAATAAAAAAAATAGCGCTCATGTATGTCCTGGAGTCATTGATAGATAAAATGATAGCCTGTCTTATAGCATGCCTATTGACTGCTTAAGTAGTATGCTATTACTCAATAGCTCTGAGTTAGTACAGTTTGAAGAGACCTTAACAGCACTGGGTATTTATAGAATGACTGAACTCCAAATATATGTAATGATCACAGTACACTTTGAAATAATGGGGGTGGGGGCTGAGACTAGATGAAATGCATTTTATCTGGCCCAGAGGCATGTTAAAGTGATAGTTTGCAAATGTTAAAAGTTGAGAACAAAATAGCTTAGTTTATGAATCTTAAGAACAAAGCTAGATGTTGACATTGTTCTTGCAGGCTGTGTGTTTTCCATATGCTTCTTGCTTTCCCTGTCACAGGTGGTGGCAGCAATATTGGTGTGATTGAGGTTATGCTGGCACCACTCGCACACAGGCGCACAATGGTGTTAGCTGGGCAGAAAGAGTGGCATCTCTGGCTACCGGGCTGGGGGCGACCTTTACCATAGGATGAAGTAACCTTGCATTCGGCTGCAAGGTGTACTGTACGTACACAGGTGCTGGTCGATGTCCACTTTCTGCTTTTCTTTCTTTCTTTTTTCCCCCCTTTTAAAAAATAATTTTCCCCACAGTAAAATCCACTGACTCCTGAGTAAATTGATCTTCTGGTTTGATGGAACTGGGGGTTGGAAGGGAAACCCATTTAATGTAAAGTAATTGGCTCTACGGTGGTTTCTCTGTGCTGTTTTTTGGGAATTTCTTAAGATACTAGAAATAATTTAAATCATTGATCCAATTTAAAAGTTGTACTTACTTTCCTTTGGAAATAATATGTTCCGTCTGTGCAGAAAGAAAGTAACAAAAAGAATTGCTTTACTCTAAGAGGAGAGATTGTCTTACTAGGATTGTTATAAACCTCCAAGCTTACATTTAATATAACAGACTGAAGTAAGCATTAGAATCCTATGTAGAGCTACTTGGAGATCTGAGGCAGGAAGATCATGAGTTCCAGGCCAGCCTGGGCTGCTTAGTGAATTCATGGCCAGGCTGGGCAACTTGGCAGGACTCTGCTTCAGAACAAAACCAAAAAAACTTATTCAGAGCATTCTGCACAGTCTTGATGTTTAAAATCTAAACTTTATGTGAACTTAAGTAATTTAACTGTTAGATACAGTGGCTAATTGTAGTCATTTTGGGAAAAATCTGATTGGTAAATCTAGATCCATTAAAAAAAAAATGTTGTAATTGTATTTCCATAAAATAGCATTTTCTTGTTGTAATGTGGTTTAACGTCCTGTTTGCCAACAAAATGACATTTGGCTTTGAAAATTCTCCTTGCTTGCAGTATCTGTTTCTCTTCCTAGGCTCTCGTTGGTGACCAAGCCTATTGTAAACAAGTGATTATCTCCAAGGGAGATGCCAGTGGAGTAACAATTGTTAACTTTACGTTTTCTGTCTGTATATTTTCTAAAATTTTGGTAGTTTCTGGAAAAAAGAGAAAGGGGTTTGTAGTACTTAACCCTATTTATTTCTGTATATTTAGTTAAATAGTTATGGAAATAAATGGATTTCAGTACTTGTGGTTAAATTGCATTACCTTTATTTTCTGTTTAGGCTTATTTTTTAAATTAACATTTAACAGAAACATTTGAAATAGAAATTTGCATGTCTGCTTTAATTAACTTAAAGACTGATTTAATCTATGACACTGAGCATATTCTTTAAATTACTCATAATTTGTAATTAATTTGATATGTTAATTAAATGTAGCAGTTTTTAGTTTGAGATGTGCCCTTTTGTCCTGTGTGTGTTTGGATGACACTGTAACATTTGCCTTTTTATTGCAGGTTTTCCTTTGGAATATGGATAAATACACCATGATACGGAAATTAGAAGGACATCACCATGATGTCGTAGCTTGTGACTTTTCTCCTGATGGAGCATTACTAGCTACTGCATCTTATGACACTCGGGTGTATATCTGGGACCCTCATAATGGAACTATTCTGATGGAATTTGGGTGGGTACAGCATGAATTATTTTGGTCTGTAATCCAGCACTGGCCATCACTACAGCTTTTTAAGAAGTTAAGCAAAAAGTTAGAATCCTTAACAAAATGTAAAATCACAACTATATTGTAATGAAAAAATTTTGCTATTATATGAGTACTTGGATAATGCAAAGCTTTAGATAAATTCTGAAAGTAAATCTGGCCCTCATAAAGTGGGTCGTGACGTTTAACAGTGTCCAGTTCTGTAGAAATGATAATTATACTTAGAGTTTCATGTTGGAAAAGTCACTGAAACAAAAGTTGAGGTTAATGTTGGTGTCGTAAATCATACTGTGAAAAAGATGAGCACTTCTTCCAAAAGCCCTTGCATTTGTTCAGAGGTCCTAGCAGAAAAGTGCAGCTTCTTCTGTACCCTTGACTGAAGAGCAGTCCTTTGTTGGGGAAGGGCATCCTCTCAGTGCATAGATTCCTACTGCGTTTAGTCTGGCTATAATAGCTCTCTACTCAGTCTATTCCGTTGTATTCATTAAGGCACGTAATCTTATTCAAAGACCAGTGTTTCTTGAAGTGATTCTGATGCCCACTGAAAACATGTCTTTGACCTCAGGCACCTGTTTCCCCCGCCTACCCCAATATTTGCTGGAGGAGCAAATGACCGATGGGTACGATCTGTGGCTTTTAGTCATGATGGATTGCATGTCGCAAGCCTTGCTGATGATAAGTAAGTGTATGGATTATGGTTTGACTTTATTTGTACCTTTTAAAGGTTTTTCATTCTTTGAAAAGTCATGAAACCTTTCTAGGATTTAGGTCTTTGGGTGGATTTTTTTGTTTGTCTTTGAAACAAGGTCTTGGTGTGCCAAGGCCTAGTTGATCTTGATCTTGAGATCCTCCTGCCTCCCATGTGCTGCTGGTACCCACATAAAAGCCAGACTCATAAAAACCAGTGGGAAAGGGTAGGTGGTAGACACAGGAGTTTCTAGAAGGTCAGGGCTAGCCTGCTTTGAGACTAAGCAAATGTCACATGAAGGAGGTGCCGATACTAGTTCCATTCTGTCATGTGATCGTATTATAGTTAGTATTGAACAGTTTGCTCACATCAGTTTATTACTTACTGTTTTCTTGTGCTGAATATAATTCTCTACTGTATTCCTAGGCACCCTCTACGTAGGTGGAAAGGTTTTGTAAACATCCAGAAAAGAGTAGAGCAAATTGTGATTGTATTATGTGTAAGCTTAAACAAGAAAGCTTCCAGTTGTGAACAGTATAGGTTTGCACACTGAGAAGAAAGACAACCTTGTATTGTCTTCGGATCATTTGGAATTGATCCAATTACCAAATGGTATAGACTGTAAAATGCTCAGTAAAGCAGGTTGTTATCATTGAGTGGGGCATGGTCATGTGTTCCTGTAATTGTAGGACTTGAGAGGCTGAAACAGGACTCCTGCAGGTTTAGCCAGGAGCTACATAATGAGACCCTATGGCAAGACCCTATCTCAAAACAAAAGTTACTGCCATGATTGGCTAGATTGGGTCACACACACCTATTATTCTAGCACTTGGGGAGTAGAATCCAGAGAATCAGGAATTGGAAGCTAGCCTGGGCTACATAAGATCCTTTCTCAAAACAAACAATGGTGTTCTTTGACAGTAATTTGTGTGTATGTATTTTGTGATGCAACACAGTGGCATTTCTTTTTGACTTTTACTCACTAGATCATTTATTTCTTTTCTAGGATGGTGAGGTTCTGGAGAATTGATGAGGATTATCCAGTACAAGTTGCACCCTTAAGCAATGGTCTCTGCTGTGCCTTTTCTACTGATGGCAGTATTTTAGCTGCTGGGTAAATATGCTTTTTTGGAGGGGGGTCCTTTTTGAGACAGGGTTTCCCTGTAGCCCCAGGCTGGTCTTGAGCTTGATCTGCCTGCCTCTGCCTCCTGAGTGCTGCGAATAAAGGCATGGTCAACACGCCTGGCTGCTTTTCTTTTTTCTTAAAGGAGCAAGTACTGTAGTTCTGTACAAGCTCTTTAAATATTGTTACTGCCTTGTAATAAGAGTATATCATTGGTTAGTTTTTAGGTTTGAAGGTGAGATCTGTGATTCTGAGATGCAGTGTTGGATGACACTTGTTTGAGCGATAGGATGTGGAATATATGTACTTAGGTGACTTTTGGTTTTTCTTTAGGACACATGATGGAAATGTATATTTTTGGGCCACTCCAAGGCAAGTCCCTAGCCTTCAACATTTATGTCGCATGTCCATCCGAAGATTGATGCCTACCCACGAAGTCCAGGAACTACCAGTTCCTTTCAAAGTTTTGGAGTTTCTTTCTTACCGTGTTTAGAAAACAGCCTTTCCTGGGGACTGCCAGAATACACTTTACACAAACCTCAAGCTTTACTGACTGCAAGTATGTTTTTAAAGGTTCAGAAGATTTATTTAATTTGAAACATTCTTGTGCTGCATTTTCATTAGTTGAGTTTTTAAAATATTATTTATAGACCACATAGAAGAAATATTTCTGAACATATAAAGTATAATTTTTTTAAGAGTAACTGTGAAAACATACATACATGTATATATTTAGACAAGCTGCTATATGTTGAACAGACCTTTTGTTTTTCTAACTCTTAGCTCTGATTTGTATAGATTGCTTCAGTAGAGCCACAATATGTATCTGCTGTAAATTGGAAAGAATTAGGTGGATTGATTTGCTTGTTTTCTTTTGGGACACAGTTTAGATGATGCTGAATTAAGAAAGCTGAATTGCCTCACAGCGAATGGAGTTGGGTGGGGTGGTATCAGCTGACCTGTAACTGAGACTTGAGTGTATTTGGAAAGATTTATTTTCCTTAGGAATGGTGTCTGACAGGGAGTTAGAATGTGACACTAAAAAAGAATCAGGATATAGACAAAGGGTGTCGTTTGGTAGGCCTTAATTTTGGAAAGCAGCTTGCTACCTTATCTTTTGAGTATGAAGTATTACACATTTTTTGTTAATTTGAAAAATGCATCTACTGTTATTACTGCTGAATATTTTGTTTATACTAAGGGACAATTATTTTAAGACCATGGGTTTTTTAAACACTTACTCTATGTTTTTGCAGAGGATAAATTGGTGACTTGCCAAAGAGAAGCAGTTCAGTGCATCTGCTTTTGCTCTCTATTATCTTACCTGCAGATATTAAGAATGTATGCATTGTATAAAATGCTTGTTTTATATATTCGAGTTTTTTAATTAAAGACATTAAAAAACCAGTACATTGCAAATGCTTCTGAACATGTTGGACCTGGTAATACTGATCTCCCTGCATTGTAATATTAATAGAGGCTTGCAAGCAAATCAAGCCAAAACAGTGAGAAAGACATCATAAGACAAAGACATTGATTCAGTGTTTCCTGAACCCTGTGTACACTGCTTTTCAGACCCATTTTGCTTTTATTTTGAAAGCATCTAAAGCTATAGAACAAAGGGAAATAGCTTCTGAGCAGAAGATCTGCTAGGTAGACTAATAGTCTTAAACTATCTGGTTAAAGTACACAGAAGAAAGGTAGTCTGGGTCCTTTAAGAAGGGCTGGAGAGATCGCTTAGAGATCCTTTGGTCTTGCAAAGGGCCCAGGTTCTGTTCCTAGCACCCACGTGGCAGCTCACAACTATATGTGTAATTCTAATTCTAAGGGCTCTGATGCCCTCTTCTGGCCTCTGTTGGCACCATGCACACACAGGGTACATATGTATGCATGTGTACCTGTAGGCAAAATACTCATACACATAAAAAAACGTCTTAAAAGGGGAGGGGGCAGCCGTCACACACACTTGTTAGCCATGCATAGTCTCAAGGACTTGACTATCTCCACTGAATAAATATTAGGATAACAGTACTTAAGTTATTTACG